CGCACGGGCCCCGCCGCCGTCGCCGGGGCAGCGGGGAAGCCGCCTCGGCCCGAGCGGCCCGCCCCTCCCCTCGACCTTTCCAGTAATAAATAAATACAAAGTTAAACAGGAAAGAAACTAGAGCAATTCAGGAAGCGAAGGCTGGAGATCATCCACATCCTGGTGCATCCTGAGAGGAGGGTTTTTTTTTTTTTTTAATTTCAAGAGGAGAAGAGGAGCAGCCCTTCCCCTTCCTGCCGCCGCCCGTTCTCACGCAGCCGCACGTCCTTCCCGGGCGGCTGGGAGCGGCGCTGGGCTTCCTGCGCCCGCCACCCTCTTCAGGCGGGGTCAGCGAACATCTGCGCGCGGGCACGGGCCGCGCACAGAGCCGCCGGCTCCTGCCAGCGGCTGGAGCGAAGCAGGGCCTTAGGACACTCCCGAACTTCCAGGAACTTGGGAGTCGTTTGCGAAAATCTGGCTTCAAAAAGAAAGAAAAAAGGCAAAACACTTCAGAAAAGTTGGAGACATAAGAGATATTCTTCACTATATTTCTGCAGTGAACAGTTTATGTTTGTGAGACTTTCCTGTTTGCTTCATAGGGACACATAGGCACACATCACTACTACACAGCAAGAACAATCTGCACCTTCTCATTGAACCTGTCAGTGAGCAGCCCTCCTTCACACAATCTCAGACATGCTTTTACCTCAACTGTAATCACAGAGCTCCTTGTTGGCTGCATACAGAAGGGTGTAGTGGGTTCATTTCAGCTGTTGTTTCATGCTGCTGGCATAAAGGCTCTGTAAAACAATGAACCATACAGGCAGCTCTTTACCAGTAGTTTAAGTTAGGCACAGGAGGAAGGCAGATGTGGGTGGGAGCTGCACCATGGTGTCATTTTCTGAATGCAGGTGAGAGTCAAGCCCTTATTTCCACAGGGAGCCAGTAAATCAAACTCCACATTGGCCAGTCAGGCTTCAACATGCAGTTCAGGATGAGAGATATCCGAGTTTAAGTAAATGACAGATTTACTAGTTGAGGTAAACTCTTACTACATCAGCAACAATGGATGGGAAATATAAACACTTTGAGACACGAAAGCCCTTATTTAAAGCAGAAGCAATAAAATTCCAACCCATGAGAAATTGGAGAACAATTCTCTGAATTTCATCAAGCATTTGTGAGATGATCTGAGAAAATAAGGTTAGTACCCGTGAAGCGGAGGTAATAGTAGGGGAATAAGAGAGTTGGATCAATAACTACCTCTGGTGGATTGGAAACTATCTTTCTAAAATGTGGAAAGGATACAGGAGAAGGGAAAGATATGACAAGAAAGTCCATAATTACCTGGTGTCCATAAATGTTGTCTCATCTCCGTCCTTAAGCCTGTTTTCTGATTCAACACCATCAGGACAAGTGATGCCTGTGACCTTTCCTCTTGGCCTCATTCCTGCTCTGTCCCTCGGCCAGTGGCACAGGATCATCCCTGCCATGAGGGGGCAAGGACAACTGCACGGGCTTCCCACAGCGCTCACCCGCAGCGAGGAGACCACTGCTCAGCCAGACCGATCGGCCACGTCTGGTGCTCTCCCTCATCTGCAGGGCTTTGCAGACTGGATGCTGAAATTCTAGTGGTGGTCATCTCAGATTACAGCATTTTTTAGAGCTGTGCTGACTCGAAGTCCTTCTGCAGCAAGGGAGCTTTAGCAGCAGGGGAGAACTGTGCATCGACTGATCACAAACCCTTCTTGGAGCCATGACGTGTTTCTGAAAACTCTCACACACACACATACTCCTGTTTCATGTATGCTATTAGCAATAAACTAAAACTTGCTGCCTAGGAAGGTTTTAACCACTGCACAATTATAAAATATCTATGAAAGAAAAAAAAGTTAAAAATCAGTATCCTACAGTGTAGAAAAGTGCCTGGGCTAGCATTTCTGCTGCTGTTCTCCTGAAAAGAGTTTAAGCTGCTTATTCTAAAGAGAAACTTACTTCAATATAATAACCTCTTTTCATTTATTAAGTCATCCAAACCATTTATTCATGAAAACCTTTAGTGAATTGCTATTGTTCACCTGCTATATCTGCTAATTAGTTCTACAATATTGAAGTTATATGATTTTTTCCCTGTGAGAAAGTTGTCATGAGAAAAACATTGTCCAGACAAATGCATATACCATACTTTATTTTCTTATGAAATACTGTAAACATCCCATATCACTTTATCACAATAGACTCAAAGTAAATTATGATATAGTGAAGGTAACCAAGACAGTTATTAATTGCTGAAGATGTTTAAATATCAGCATCTTTGTACCCTTCTTTGGGTACCTGAATGACAGGGGGTTGACAATTTGATTTTCTACTCATGAATGGACTTCTGTTTGTAAACAAACTTCCTTTAAACAGCGTGCAGCTACTCAAAGGAAATAAATAAATCTACATGAGTAAGAGCTATACTAGCAATATTTTTACTTATTATTTATTTAGTTATTAGCTAGCATCATTTTAGTCATCCTCCAATGGCATAAAAAACTTTTCTGTTACATATTGATCTAAATTCTATGCAAATAGTTACACATTGCTTCCCATTTAATAGGTTATTCCTAATCATTTCTTTATCATTAAAGATGAAAAATGATCTGTACTATGGATGATTCATTTATTTCAAGCAAATGAGATTACCTCCTTTGCAAGAGCATTTATAGCTAGAAAAATCTGATTATTAAAACATCAATTTTTCCTATGTTAAAACAGAAAATACTTATCCATCTGGCCAGTGTTTATAATCACTCATTTTTAAAAGCATTGTTAATTTCGGCATGCTTCATTTTAAATGTCTAATAAGAAATGTATATTCTTCCTCTTAAACTTCTGCTTCTACACATTTTACTGTGGCTTCAGGCTTGGTTTTAGATTCTTCTACCTTTTTTCCATTATTCTTTGTTTCCTTTTCAGGTGTTTTGTCATTTGTGTTAGCCTCTTTGACAGCAGTAGTTTCAACCATTTCTTTTTGCTGATTCTTGTTTGAAAATGGAAAGGATTTCTTATACCTTTAAATAAGAAAAGAAGGACAATGTAACAGAAGGATTGACATAATTTTGTTTAACCACTGAACAAAAAATGCAAAATAGCTAGAATTAGTTTGCTCTGTACAAACATATTTCGCTACCTGTATGTGTAAATATTCATTAACTGTAGTCTGCTAGTTAAATCTGTACAAGAGAAAAAAGAAAACCTTACTTTTTGATATAGCAGATTGCTAGAACAACAGAAATAATGAAGAAGATCACTGCCAGTACAAGGAGTGCCGTGGGGATACCTAAAGAAAAAAAATAAATGAGGTAAGTATAA